TCGGTTTTCTTTTCTTTTTTTCTAAGGAGATTACTAACCTTCTTTTTTTGATTTATTAAATTGCCTCAATTTTTTTAATTAAAAAATAAAACGTATATAAAAGCGTTGAGAGAGAATTGTTGATTTAAAAATTGAAATATTATTTGAAGTGCAAAGGGTTGATAACAAAACCATATTATACTTATTCCTAAAACCATATATTTTAATATAGAATCAGATTTTAATCAATTGGATGGGAATAGCCAACGAAATATATTTTTTTTTTTATTCATAAACGAATAATGTAAATTCGATGCGTTTTGAATATGCTTTTAATATGATTCGCAAATTTTTTAAAGAGATTTAGTATTTCAGAAATGATCCAAAACACAACTGTGCTAACATACATTATCTGTTTGTAGTATAATATAAATTATCAAAGTATATTTTGCCCCCAAAAAAAAAAAACAACAACAAATATTTGACGTGAGTATATAGTTAGGATTTGAACTGTCTTCCTTAATTTTCGGATATAGGACTAATTTCGATGTTTAAACATTTGTACATTTGTTATTTTCTGTTTTGCATTAATCAAGACCTGTACTAATAAAAGCAATACGGTATGATCACTTTAATTATGAGAATATTACTACTGCATTTAATATGTTTTGATTATAATTATTATAAATATTGGATCTCAGGTATAATTTATTATTATTATTTTTATTATAATTTAACGAGCACGTGCCTTCTCGTCTTCGGTATACTCTGAAATTTTTATTTTCACGTCAATTGATATTTTTTTTTCAAGAGAGAGAGAGAGAAAAGGTTAAACGATGATTGTCTATGTCACTTTGATATGATTTATAATTTTGTTTTTTTTTTTTTAAATATTTTTAAAGTCTCGTATATCGAATATCGATAGTCGCATAATTGATAATGCATTTATCAATCGAAATGTTTTACCGATTTTTATGAATTATTCAATAAATACAATTCATATAAAAAAAAAAAAAGAAAAAATAAAGGAGAAGAAAACGCGATTGCGTAAAGCAAATATATTATTGTTTAACAATAATGACAATAAATTATCGATGGAAAAGTCGGATCAAATGGTAGCCGTTTTATTGTCCGTTTAAATTAATTTTCAAATGCTAAAAGTAAATTAGCTTTTGAAATGATTTTAATAAATAATATGGTATTATTTATATTTATATATTATATATTTAAAGCAACAGCTGTGGTTAATGATGCCATGGGTTTTATAAAATGCAACGAACTATAAAAAAGAAGAAGAAGAAGAATAATTGTTTCCTTTCGATTTATAAACTCAAATGATTACATAAAAACGAATCCTGAATAATTCACCTGTTTAATTAAAAATTCATTTGACGTAGTTGATGAAAATCAAAAGAATTTTCCTCCGTAATTCAATTAATCATCACTTATTTTCAATATCTGGCGTCGGGTAAATTGTTATTTTCGTATTTTAATAAAAATATAAAACATGTTTTTTTTCCTTCATATTTTATATTCAAATGATATCAAATTCCTTATGTACTCGATGTTTAGTTATTTACCATAATTCCTGGCGTGTCAATTTCATTCAATTTTCGTTCATTTCATTGACATTTTGAATCTCATCAATCAAACGGAATAAAATAAATCTTTGATATTCAAATTTTCAGAATAAAAAATACTCGATTCAATGTTATATTTTTTACACGGACGTAAATATTGACAAATTTAATTAATATTATCAGAATTATGCGATCGTAAATTTACTTATCGGTAAAATACGAAGAAACTTTTTCCACGAGCTTTTTCCTCGAACAAATATTTAAAACAAATTTAAAGAAATAAGTGTATATGTTTGAAAAAGAATATTTTTTAAATTACTCTCTATGATAAATAATAAAATAATTCAAATAAAATACTAGTAATAATAATAAAATATTGTATGACAATGTGTCTTGTTTATACGATCTTGAAATTATTTATCGGTAAAATACGAAGGAACTTTTGATCCTAGTTAACAATATGAGCTATCTCTTGCAAGTTGTTACAGAGAAATCCGTATAAGGTATTCACGAATTCGGATCAAGGTTACCGGATCTCATGGTTGGAAAACGTGATTGTAAAATGAACGTCTCTATCTATTGATTCTTTTAGAATTTAGAAAGGTCTTCGCGAGATCAATTTAATTTTCCCATTATCGACAATTATTGTTATTTTTTTTTTTAAATTGTTTCATATTCACATCTCTGCATGATTCATATTTTTTCTATTACGAAAAATGAAATAACTTGCAAGTAATATTGGCAAATATTTGTTTAACCAAAATCAAACCTGCTTTTAATTATTATTATTATTATTTATTGTAGACCAATTTTCGAGTAAATATACACATATATATTAATTAATTGTTGTAAGTGCATTAACAAATTATTTTTTACTAATATTTAAATTATAATATTTGAAAAAACAATTTTATTTTTTAATTACAAAAATAATCTGTATTATAAGTGGAATGTTTTTTTTTAAATAACTGTGATTTGTTTTTGAACACAGAATGAAGATTAATTATATCAATATTTAAACTCTAGCTACTCGAAATAATACCGGTAGAGAGAAGAAGACTTAGTATTGTTCGAATGCATAAGTCCGCGACTATGTTTCCGGATGAAATCTCTTCGTAATGAATGCATCATCGATGAGGGAACACAGTGTTGAGTTTAACTTATTCGAGACTGGCATATACGTAACGATTATTTGCTTCTACTTTACATTATTCTAATGTTAGAAGAATTCTGAAAATGTCAGAGATATTTTAAACTACGTTTATGTTTGATTGTATTGGGTATACCTTTCATTACATTCTAATTTTTAACGCATACGCAATGAACATTTCATTTGATTTGATTTACTCGTGTTAGAAAAAATTTGTACATTTAATTTAGAATTATTTGTCATAATAAAAATCTACAAGGAATCTATTATATATTATTTTCCTATTTTATTTTCATTTGATTTATTAAAACAAAATTATCGAAGACAATGTTCTATCGATTAATAAAAATAACATAATTCTACCATGAAATCGGTCAACGATATATTTATCAATTGTTTATAAATTTATTGTTCGCGAGAGATTGTGTTTAGAAATTTTGAAAATCGAGATGCAAATTTTGAAACGAATATTTTCATTGAAGTCATTTATTTCGTTAATTGGATACTTTGGTATGATACTCGAAGCAGATAAATGACGATAGAAATAAATAGTATAACATTATCGTATTACAATGATGCGGAAAGAATGATATGTCATCGTTGAACAATTTTTTTTTTTTTTTTGAATTGTTCTGTGTTATTAGAATTTCCGTTTTTATTGTCAGTCGCGTATAGAATATTATTATTATTATTATTATTATTATTGAAAATAGAAAATATTTTGCGGGAATTCGATATAATATAAATGTAATATTAAAATATCTTAGATATTTTTTTATTATTTTGTTTAGATAATAAATTTTTTTAACGCGAGAAATGATATATTTTTCATGCAAATATATTGCAACAACGATTTCGATAATGAAATTATTAAAGCTGTTTCTGATAATATATACCTGGTGTAAAAATTTATTTTTCTCTATTTCAAAACGTATAATTTTCAATAATAATTATTGTAATATTAAATAAGTGATAAAATCAAAAGTTATTGCCTATTTTTCACTCACTCAAATGTCATAATTACTGACATACACAGACACACACACACATATGTCTAATCAAAAGTGGATATGATTCAATGATACACGCAAGGAGTGAAAGAGAGATAGAGATAGACGAGTTAATTGCATCACGCAAGCGAAAGTAATAAACGTTTCTATCTAATATCTGCTTATTTCAACGTGACATTTCAAGAAAACTATCATTTTTCTTTTTTTCTTCAAGAATAAATATTGGCAGATCCGATTAATACAATCAGATTTATACAAATCCTAAAGTTATATATCGGTAAAATACGAAGAAACTTTTTTCAACTCAATTCAATACAACACATTAACGTTAATCTTAACAAAAAAAAAACACAAAAAAAAAATAGAAAAATTATTATTCTAACAGCATATAAACATAAATACACATATAAACTTTTGATCTCGTGTATTTTGTATTTATAAGATTTGACGCGAGAAACACGTGATTAAATTAACGAACAGTCACGTGATCGGCCTACAAAGCATAGATCAATGATCTATTCTCCTTTTGCGTTCATTAAAAAACTGATTATTATTATTATTATTATACTAATAATTATTATTTCAATTCTCGCGTTAGTTCTTCAGAATCGAATTTAATTCTTCGCAGTTTATTGTATCATTTTTCTTCCCACCCCCTCTCTTTTTTGTTTTAACTTATTCCGTTTCTTTTTCTTTTTTTTCCCCCGTTTTTGTTCGTTTGCAAATTGTTATTTTTCTCTTGAACATTCGTCACAAATATTATCATTGAGCATAAATGAATAATTCAACGATCATCGTCGGAAACGTCACGTTTAGATAGTCGACTCGGCTCGTGTAATACGCAGACCACGAAGACTGAATTTCCGTGTTTCCCATGCAAAACAAGGTCGGTTAATGCTTTAAGGTGGAACCGAGATACTCTAAGAGAACTTAGATTACTTCTATCTTCTTTCTATTTCTTCCTTTTTTTTTTTTTTTTTATTTCTTTAGTTATTTCTTCTCATTCTATTTTACCTTTCTATTCCTTGCCATAACGGTATAATGATCTTCCATGTTATATAGTATATTACTATTATGCACCACGAACATCCTAGGTGTGTCTTTTACAAATCAGACTAACCAATCAGAATAATTAAACATTCAATCATTTTCTTTTTTGAGTATAATAATATATCAGCTGTCGCTTTGTTGTTGTCATTCATCTAAATAATCAATTTTTCTTTTTGTTTTTTGTTGAATCATTTAATTTGACTCTTTTTTTCTTCCTTTGATTAATTCCAGGACATGCGAAAGACAGAGGGGCATTGACAGGGACGCTGACAGAGGTGAAGATGACGATGAAGATGAGAATCCATTGGGCAGGTGGCCACATGAACTTAGTCCAGCATTGGCTTGTCTTGGTTGTACGCTTGGTCTATTCAATATCAGTAGATTCGCCATTCTTAGTATACAATTTGGAGGTAAATCAAATTATAATAATCAAAATATATTCAATGAAATTTAAACATCTTCTTTGAATACTTAAAATCACTTTGAAAACAATTCTTCCATTAACACAATTTTCTAATCACAAGGATCAACAATTTAAATTGTAACTTTTCAAAAATAAATCCTAAAGAATTATCTTCTATTTTTCATTATTTATCAATATTTATTTTCCATAAATTACTTTGTACATTTCGTAATAACACAAGCGTGTTAATTTAAAACTGTGATTTGAATATAGAATTAGAGATGAATAAAGATGATTTAAGATTAATCATATGACCTAAATAACTGATTGAGATTATTTTCTAATTGTTCAATGATAAAATATGATACAAGTAAATCACATGACTCGAATAATAAGATTATTATTTTCCAATTGTTTGATGATAAAAGATGATTAAAGTAAATCATACGTATGACCCAAATAACTTGAACAAATTATTTTCCAATTGTTCAAAAGCTGCCAATAAACGAAGGGTATCATAAATAAGATCCTTGTCGATTGAGGAAAAAAAAAATAATAATAGTACCTCAGAGATAATTACAGGTCTCTCTCTCTCTTTTTGTAATTGACTATACATCAGTAAATTACCTCCCGCAGCGAGGTGGTGGTGGTGTTGGCTACATTTCATTCCTGTTAAGAAATATTTTCTCTTTGAAAGTGTTTATCGATTTTCGTTGATGATAATGATCATCGTTCGTGTCTTCCTTCTTCGACAAAACCCCATTGTCATTATCGATTAATATACGTATTTCTACCTGTGTAATAGTTCATTTTGTTATTATTGCAGCCAACTTTATAGTACAGTTCCTGATATTATCCTTGGTACTTGGAATACCATTATTGACGCTTCAAGTATGTCTCGGTCAAAGATTATCAGCCGGATCGGTCGACATGTGGAAAATTTCACCTCTATTTCAAGGAGTTGGTATAGCTTTATTAACAGCACAAGCGTTTATTGGAATTTACAGTATAGTGGGTGTATCTTGGATGTTCGTATACTTCAGGTGAGTCAACAGTTTATTAACAATTCTTTTTAAAGGGAGATCACAAAGTTCATCGAGATTGATTTTTAATAACGGAATCGTGATTACTTTTCTAGGGATTCGTTTATCACGAAGCAAGATAGGTATCGTTGGGCAGAACCGTTTCTCTTATATCGAGAAGACAGTAAACCTACGCACAATAGTAGTAATACGTATAAATTATACGAAACTGTACCGGATTATTTCAGTGGTGCTGTTTTACAAAGGCACCATTTGAACGAGTCCGATCCTGGAGTTGTTACATTGAAATTTCAAGTGGCATTTAATTTAGCTGTCGTATGGATGATCGTATTTGTGTCCTTAAGTAAAGGTACGTGTTTCTTAAAATATATAAGAAATTTATTCTTCAAATTGTTAACAAATGTTTATCAATGTTTTCATCTAATTTTAGGTTTAAGATCATATGGAAAGGTGGTCTACGTTTTTACATTAGTTCCTATTTGTGGTATTTTAATTCTTTGTACTAAATTATTGGGACTAACACCACCTGGTTCAATTAGTCAGCTGTTTCCTGGCACCGTTTGGAATGAATTTTTCATTAACGGTAAATCATGGGTGGCCGCTTCCACCGAGGTTTTCCTTACCTGGGGTTTACTTGGAGCAGCTGCCATGCAGGTAAATTATAATCGTTGTTGATACATTTGAAATAAAGATTCTAAATGAATTTCACTCGTTAATTATCGACGAATATCGTTATTTTAGATAGCCGCTCATAACAAGCATAAACATCTTTTACAAAGGGACACCAGTTTGGTCGTGGTTTTGACTTTTGTTGTTTTACTTCTTGTTGCCTTTTTGGCCAATACCTGTGTACAAATTCTCAAACTTCATGGATACATTTATACGACTAGTTCATTTGGTAAGGAATACTTCTAGACATTTTTATTAATAAATTGGTTCTTCAAATGAATTTATAAGTTAATTATTGATATTTTTGATTTAGAGAGAATATCAGGATACACGTTCATGCGATTGGTCAATCAACCAGCAACATCCTTGTACACGAGTACACCAGAAAGATTTATGTCACACGCATCCTTTCTGGTTGGTCAACGAATTAGTAAACCTGGTGTTGATGTTTCTACCGAGTCTGGTTATCAAGTGTTGAGATTTTCAACTGAATTAGTACCTGCCACTCTAGCTTTGCTAGGGACCGAGCAAGTCTCACCATTCTGGGCTGTATTATTCTACTTCGTTTTAATTTTATTTGGAATAGCTCAACAGGTGGTTAAACAATTCTCATACGCGTGGCCTATACAATTAATAAGAGTCCTTTTTCATATTATTATTTTCATTTTTGGTGTTGTAGCTCGCAATATGGCACTGTGTGATAACTGGTATAATGGCTATCAACACGAAGATGATGAAATTGTGGGAGACTACTATAACTTTTTTTAGCTGTGCCTGTGCTTACATTTTGGGTTTACCAATGGCTACAGAGGTACGTTAACACTTGACGATATATTGATTAAATCGTTTATCTTATAAGAAGGAAATTGGATAAGACATGCTGGTTCGTTGAATTAAAGATAAGGTTTCATTTTTGTACCTTTTACTCATCGCGGTGATGACACATAAATCACTCGTAAATCGTATGACTTAACGAGGACTGTATCGAGGAATGAATTACACATCTAGCAGACATACACAGATGCATATGCGTACACGTATATATATATAACGTGCTTAAGCGCGTTATCAAGTTAAAATTGTAAGTGTTTAAGCTTCATGCATCGTTGGTTAATACTGTTAAAACACTTTCCATGGCATCTTTATCAGGCCGTATCAGTGGATCTTTCGTTTACTCAGATAGTTTTTATCAGTTCCTTGCTTGCGTGTTCCATTTCTCAGTGTGATCTGTTATTAACACTTGGTGAATAGTATTAGGAGAACGGTGGTTGTTATAAAAACTTGATAGAATGAATAATAACAATGCGCATAATGTGGTACGTCGTAGCGTGCCGTGTTATTTTTGTAACGAATTTTTGGAAGAAAGATATTTGTCGGAACACGTTAAACATTGTGGTGCTGTTTTAGAGGAATGTCCACATAAATGTGGGGTCTACGTGCCAAGAAGGAACATGCAGATACACGATAGATCGTGTTTGAAGAAAATATCAAAGAGAAACAACAGCGAGATCAAAGTAGATCCGAATGATTCTATGTGGAAAGAAAAGGTATTGTCTATATTGACTTTGTTACGTGGTTCAATAGACGAAGCGGAAAGGGAACGTAAACGTTTGAACGAGACGATGATCAATAATTTTACTCTATTACATCGCAAACAAGAAATACTGGACATGATGCGATTGAATACGATCGAATCGTTAGAGGAAACTCGTAAAAATAGTTCAACGTTGGATCAAAGGTTGAACGTTCTTGAATTGGGTTGCGATAGTATGGAACAACGTACTTGCATCAGCTTTCAAAAGATCTCGGAACAATTGCAATTATTGCAGAAAGGTTTGAACGAGGAACAAAATAAGCAGGACAAATTGTTCGACGATTGGATTAAAGATTTGAGCGAGTTGAAAACGTTTGTTGCTAAAGAAAGTATACTTGTCAGTGGTATATGGCAAGAACAATTAAAGAGAATTCACGATCTGAAATTAGAATTAGAGATGAGGTGTAAGGATTCGAAAGATTTGGTAAATAAGTATGAAGAACTTCAAGAGAAAATTGATTCCATTGGGAAGGAAACTCGTGAACTTGTTCGTACAACTAACGAACAACGAAAGGATATAAAAGCGTTGAGATTTCAAGCTAAAGAAAATTTGATTTACGTCGAAGAACTTGTAAGAGATAGTTCGAAGGTTGTAACTTTGGAAAATGATGATAACAGTGAATGTAAGTGTTGCTTAAGAGAACTCGGACCATTTTCGACGAACGGTCGTCTCATATGGCGAATCGAGAGATACAAAGAAAAAATAAACATTGCCAAGGAAGACGATAGTCCGATTTATAGTCCAATATTCTTGAACAAGGATTACGGATATACCCTTAGAATGGAATTGTTTCTTAACGGTCTGGGTCAATGGAAAGATCGTCACGTTATTGGATGCCTTAAAGTAGAAAACGGGAAGTGGGATCCACTGTTAGATTGGCCTTGTATTTTACGAGCGACAGTAATATTGAAGGATCAAGAAAATCCTGCTAACGATTTGCGAAAAATTGTTAAAAGTGTTAGACGCGAGAACAGTGATACGGAAAAGCCTGATAAAGAGTCTGGGTTGTATATGTTCATTCCTCACACCACTTTGGCTAGAAATTCAGGATATACCAAGAACGATGTTATGTTTTTAGAAATTCAAGTGAAGGATATAAAAAAGAGCGACTCCATGCCGTCCTTAGTTACATAAATCGTTGCTAATGAACAAAAAAAATAAAATAAAATAAAGAAGGAACCAAAAATATATATATATATTATATATAGTCCACAGTTTAATAATTATGAAAATAATTGTCCATTGTATAATCCTACTGACACTGTTATATTTGTATCAACCTTTTCCTTCTATTATACAGTTGGGCATTTACGTAGTGTATTATCTGGATTATACGGTTGGTGGTGCATGGTGGATAATGGTTCTATACTTGGTACAAGTCGGTGCTGTCTTCGCTGTAAGAGGACGACCACACAGTGGAGAAGCTGTAGTTGCTGAATTGTTTCCACCAACGGGACGATGTCTCAGACATTGGGCTGGCCCACTTCTGTCCTTCACGTGGAACGTTATACTACCAGTGACTTTAATGGTTCGTTAGTGAGATTGTATATTTAATTATTTACATTTGATTATGAAACGCGCGTGGACTATAATTAAATGTGTTATTTAAAGAAGATCAAAGCAGTCGAGTTGTTTTGTAATTTAATTAATTGTCTGTTTATTATGTAACAGGTACTAAGTATTACCGTGTTCAAAAATAACGGATTTCGAGAGCTCTATTCCTACCGTCGAACGAGCCGAGATTATTGGGCTGTGTGGGCGAGACAATTGGGAGCAGCGATTCAATTAATTCCAATATTAACGATTCCAGCTGTGGCAATAATCCAAACTTGTCGATATTTAAATAACGGTCCACCTGATATATTTGACGTAAGTGTAATATCATTATACTATTAGTTTGTATTTCATTTATCTCTTATAAAGCGAACAAATGATTTCTCTGTTACTGCTAACAACTTAGAACGAACAAGTGGAAGTTAGTGTAAATCACTGCGAACAGTGTAACGGCGTAAGTTTTTATAGAATTGAGATGTAACAATAAATGTTATTAAAAACAAAAACAAAGAAAAATAATAATAATATTGATTTTTAAATAACAATTAAAATCGAAAATAATTTGTTTTTGCAGAGAATTCAACTACTATATCGTCCGGCACTAGAAACCGATGATCCAGCGGATGCTCAAACGCAAATTGGCAGTAACGATACCAGCACCAGTATTCATGGGAATGGTATATTACCTACTACAACAGATGTACCGTTCGAAGATCCACCACCGAAATATACACCACCACCCAGTTATACGACAGCAACTGGGGCTAGGATAGCAAAAATGTTGCGTCAAAGTTTTCGAAGAAGCGTGAGACGTATCGCTAACGTTTTAGGAGAAAGTAGTGCGCCAAGGCAAAGGCCAGCATTGCAACCACCGCCGCCAGATTATGCTACAGTTTTAGTCGAAATGAATCAGAATACTCGTGGTCGTGGAGTAGACGTCTCAATAAACATGAACAACGAGTCTAGACCAGACGTGGTGGTAGCAACGACTAACGTTAGAAGAAGTACTCGCAATGAAAGATCCGCTACTGTAGTTGGTATCGGTGATAGGCACAGACCAAACACCATTGACAGAATGACTAGGATCAATTCTTTAGATGGTAGCAATAGAAGAGTCACCGTAGAACGTACGCATTCTACTTTGGAAAGAGGAACTCGTAGCAGAGGATGTAGTAATAATTTCACCAACAGCAATATTATTTCCTCTGCTGCTGCTGCTGCTGGTAGCACGAATCTCACAGCAGCCGACGTGGCTAATCTTTTGCGGAGTAGTATCAGAAGGGGGACAACTAGAACACAACAGTCCCTACGTAGAAGCTTCTGTCACGACGAACCGACCGCGGCGGTGTCCGTTCAGAATCTAGTCGAGGCCGCTGCGCCAATCGGTCAAGACTCCTTGGTCCTTCCGAAGGACGTCTCTCTAGTCCCCAACGAACACGTCGACGATGATCGCGATGACAAGAAGACTGCGGACGAAATGGACAATTCCATTTCTGTGATATAGACTTCGTGTATATCCCTCCTCCTCCTCCTCCTCCTCCTCCTCCTCCTCCATTTTAAATACCCTCCACTTCACATTATCCTTCCTCATTTATTAAAGCTTGCTACAATACTCCTTTCTCGATATCATTCACATCACAACGACCGTCTTTTGAATAGTTTTTTTTCGGCTAAACAATTTGTTGGCTACTTTTACATGTAAATTAGTCCACGTTTTGCTGTATCTTTTTCTTTCGAATTAGAATATTTTTAATACTGTATTTATTATCTATTTCTCCTTTCAAACTATTCTTCTGTCCTATTGTCTCGCGTCTTATCTAAATACTTCACATTCTTATTCCTACACAGTTATACGTTGGACGACCATTAGGAGAAAACAAATCGTATGTGACCTAATCGTTAAAATAGTTATTTTTGTTTATTCGCTCACGAATATTGTAAATGTGTGTTCAAAATGTCATTTAATTTAGCGGATTACTGCCTAGCTCTTCGACGTAAAGATTATTCTTGTCTTTATTTCCATGAGCAAATAAAAAGAATTAAAAAAAAAATAACAAATAAAATATAAATCATATTTTTTTTTCGGCCTGTAATAGTAATACTCTCGCATTCTTTGATGCAATAACAACAAAAACAACAGCATAACAACAACAACAACAAGGAAAATATATAAATTAGAAGTGTAATTAATTTTTTCCACGATTGTAACTTTTAGCTGGGATCTCTTTTGTTTCTTTTTTTTTTTTTACTAATTGGCAATTTCGAATAAGCCACGTACAAATAATATTATCATCTTGTAATATTATAATCTTTTTTATTTTGTCTTTTTATCTTTTTTTCTGGAGAGAAATTCATTACTGTAAATATTTATAGCAATTTTATGAATTTAATTTAGAATGTGGGCCGACCGACTCCTTATTAAATATATTTTCTAAAGTCTATATATATATATTTGAATGTACGAGTGTATAGTCCGTCCAACTTTTTCATATATATATTTTTAATATATATAATTCCTCTTTAAAGAGTCTCCGTTAAAAGATAACAATTTGAAACTTCGATTCGATGAGATACACGTCGTAATGAAAATTAATATACATTTTACGTTTTGAAGTAGAGATTTTCTTAGATAAAAAAAAAAAAAAAAGAAAAAGGAAAAAAAGAAAAAAAAAATTTGTGTAGAATTTGGCATAACTAAGTACAATGGGTGATCGGATAAAGAACATCAACAAAATACGACGTAAGCTGCTCGAATTTTTCGTTCACCGATCATCGAACAAAAAAAAAAAGAAAAAAGAAAATATAAATCTTATATATAGGGTCGTTTTTTCTCAGTGTTTGTTCAGTAAGGTGTCCGAATCTTTTTCGAAAAAGATTCCATTGTCCAATTTGTTCGCAGTCCGAATTATTCGTTAACCGATCATCTACTGTATATAAAAACTCCTCTTCTTTTTTAGCTGTGTAATATATTATTATATTATAAATAATCGATCAGCTTTCTCTCTCTCTCTCTCGTTAAAATAAATGTAACTGCTATACCTGACATAATGGACCATAATAAAGTTTTTATGTTCTTTTATAATTTTTTTCTAGTTTCTGTGCGAACGGGTGTAGCGTGCATGTGGCGTGTGTACGTATATTTGTTGGTTTGTGTTGCTCTTCCTAATAATTGAAATATAGTAATAATAATAATAATAATAATAATGTGTTGGATGTTTTGAGATAATAAAAACTTGACGCAACCAGCACAACATTTTTTCTTTTTCACAATTAATTATTAATTTATTAAATATCTAGACGATCGCGAAAAGTAGTAGGTAGTAAAGTTGTAGTAGTAGTAGTAATAATAGTAGCAGTAGTAGTAGTAGTAAAAAAAAAAAAGAAAAAAACTAGCAATATTCATATAATCCACTTTTTTTTGTATAATAATTATTTGTAAACATTAAATAAAAGATATACCTATACATTATAATAAATAAATAAAGTAATCATGAGTCGCGGTAATATGTGAAGACCTTTTTTTTATTACTGAATCATAGGATATTTTTCTTCAAGCGGTGCAGCAATTTAACGAAACAATGTTTTCGCGTATAATATTATAAACATTCTATTAAAATATTAATAATTATTTTTTTTCTTTAAATAGAACAAATCTTACGACTATTCAATAACAATCATATGAAAGAAACGTAAGTGTTTCAATTTACAAATAGGCCATAGCTGTGCGAAATTGATTAATTGTAATTTAAATTATTTGATTGTTTATTATTATTATTATTATTATTATTATTATTATTATCATCATAATTATTATTAACAGAAAATAAAATAAAAAAATAGCTGCAACGCTGAATAAAAAAAAAATATCCCACATACAACAATCTCATTGTGTGCGGGGTGTATGTACATACACACTTATTTAAATATACCATTGAATTATTATCGAGATATAAATATTTCTAATTACTTTATAACTAACATCTGAGCAACATAATGTAACTTTGTTTAGAGCAAACAATTTCCCAAAGCAACAATAATAGCAGCAGCGGCAGCGATAAGAGATAAATGTGTATATAAAAAATGAAGCGAAATATATATTACAACCATATTCTTTTTTTTTTGCTTGCTTTTTTTCTTTCGATTTTAATAAACCGCATCTCAATTCTTTTTTTTTCTTTTTATAAATACGTATTTTAATTTTTGTTCCTTTTTTTATATTTTATTTTTTTTTGTTTAATTAATAATGACGCTGGGCGCAATTAAATAATTTTTAATCTTTTGCACGTTTTAAAAGTTACATCCAACGAACGCTTCGTGGAATTTACATATTTTCTGTGTTTTTATATTATTATAATTAGTATAATTATTAAAATGTTACAAGCTTTCGTATTATTCATTATTAATTCTGTCTTTTAAGACAACTCTTTCTGTCTCTATATATATTTATATTTATCTATATATGATTTGAAATAAATTTTATTATTAACGTTGCTTTATAATAGCAGCGAAAAGTGTTTAGTATCTTTTAATATTTTTTTTCCCCTTTATATTTTCTTCTTCTTCTTCTTCTTTATCTAAACACTTAATTTGAACTAAAGAAGAAAAAATATTGTATAAATAAAGAGATTAGTTTAAAGCAGTAGATGTCAACACAGCTACTCCTCTCTCATAAAAGCTGTGAGGGTCTTGACTAGGAGCGATATTTAAATCAACGGTGAAAAGTAATTCAGTACGAGTACTATTCAGATATACTGGTAGAGATAATTTTCCCTTTCTAGCTTCCTCCGTTGACGATCTTATCCACCTCAACATGGTGACCGGCAAATCTGTCATAATGGTAGATGTAAGATACAATTGATTATCTCTACATTGTGCTCCTTGTAATTTCAAGCCGGTTACTGCGAACGAACAATCATCCGTAGCTATATTATCACCATCTCCAATTGTTACATCCAATTGTAACTCTTCGAGAGACCAACTGTTAGCCTGTGCGATGCATTGTCGCGTTGCGGTAATGTAAGCCTCGGGATTTAATAAACCACCAAGCCAAACAGGGAAACTCTGTGTGTTGATAAAATAATGATTAGAATGAAAAATAAATAAACAATATATGAGAATCGAGGAGGAATAAATAAATGTATACCTTAATTTCTTTGGCTCCACCTTGCGAAACCAGTCGTGATACTTCTTGCAGTTGAGATACTCTATGACTAAAATCAGTTATCCATTGTATCACAGTGCAACCTCTCGGAACGGTATACCTTCTCCAACCACCTGGTAAAATACCTTTAACGAGTTCGGATAACATTGTTCTGTGGTAATTTGTCTGTTTCTTTTCACCCTGTTCAACAATAACAAAATACATTATACATGCATTCTTATATCGTAAAATATTCTATTCAAATATGATTAATAATAATACCTGACAAATTAATACAATATCTTCTAAGTCATGAATAACATCTTGCAATAGTTTAGCTCCGCTGTTAACTTCCCGTTCGAAATATCTGTACAAAGGATCCTTGATATTTTCCACAGTCCTTTTAAGAGTTGGTAAATTCTTTGGCAACAATTGTAACCAGGTGGACGCTGAATTATGTAGAGTTCTCATCCAAGATGGACGACCATCAGCTTCAGCTTCTCTGCTAGGTGTGACCAATGATTCTTCGTTGGAGTATGCTAATTCGTCCTCGTCTTCTAATTGTTGCATTTTGAGTAACTTAGATATTAGATCTGTTCCCCTATTCGTTAGGAGTACTTTTTCAGCATTGTTAGGTAATCCAAGCCAAGAAGGTGTTTGTCTATCAGCTAAGGATTCAATCCACTTAAGGAAATGATCTCGTCTGGTGCCATCCGGCATTGTAATATGTCTTGGACTTCCTTGTTGAGCTCCGTCTACGTTAGCGACCAATGCAAAGTCTGCTTCAAATGAACGCGGAGTGAACAATTTTCGTAAGAATGATGTAAGGAGTCTTTGATCGTAATCGTTATCAATTTTACCACCATATATACATTGAGATAATAATGTCACCAAAGCATCCCAAGGTACCTTTTCTGGTGGTAAATTGGTTCTACCCATAGCTGTGGTTTCTATCCAAGTGTCGAGCGTATCACAGGCAACTCTTAAGTCACTTTCATTGAACTCATAATGCTTAGCCCATCCCAGAGGTGCGTATCGAAGACGTTCTTGAACAATAGCATGGAACCATGCGAGAAGGAAGTAAAGCCTAGCTCTTTCATTAGGTGCTTTCATCATGCGAGATGCTGGAACTGTGCTGAACGTTCGAAGTAAGTTTGCTCTAATACCAGGTGGTGGTTCAAAGACGAAGATCCTACCAGCTCTTAATAAATTAACTGGCACTTTCGGGTTGACTTCCATCGTTAAGAATAAACGGAAACTGGCATGTGGTTGTAGACTGTGTAATTTTTTCTCGAGCTGAACCAACCACTGCGGTGCAAGATGTACGTTCTTCAATATTACCCACCTACCAGCCTTAACAGCCATGTTGATAGCTCTGTCAGCTTGATTGAAACCTTCGGCAGAACCAATAGCAATACTTGCTATTTGTTTACCCAATTCTGCTGCTAAATCGTCTACTCTACTCGATGCGTCGAATCCTGGCACTGAACAAAGTAATGCTGGAACTGTTGCTTTCAATTGATTCTCTACGACCGAAGCAAAGTCAAGTTCGATTTCTGCCGCTGCCATAAAGGATTCTCCAAGTGCTGATATGACAACCAACGACGCAGCTGCGATTACACGATCTGGTCGGAAAGTTTGAATTAGCAACAATTGATGCATAGCGGTACCAATCGGTGACAATGGTTTCTCTTCCTCCCAAAGTTTGGGTACGCAAGTTTCCGGTGTTGGCGATTGCAACCATGCAGCAAAATCACTGTTCTCTTGGATTTTCTCAGCAAGCTTTTTAAAAGCTGGTAGTCTAATACTTATACGCATCATAGCTTCCTGTTGTTCGGAACTCAAGTATGGTACAGGTGGTACACGAATATTCAACACACCTTCTTTTCCTCTGAG